TACCTTTTTGAGTACGCACCGTTTTAGGAAGGATAACCGCCGCTAGAAGGACATAGCCCGGGGTATCAAGAAGGAAATGAGTGCCGGGAAAGAAAAGAAGAGAAGTTAATTAGTACTGTCTGGCTAAATCAATCATACACGCCTTAACTTACCTTTAGTAACGCGAACTTTGGACCAGTGAAGCAACTGACTCGCCGTTTTCCAGACCAACAATGTATAGTGCAAGTATTTTTGTTCTATATTATAGTTAATTCTTATTATAAAGAATAAAAAAAATAAAAAAATATTTTAAAATATTTTAAAGTTTTTTTGATTATTATTTTAGATTTTTTCAAAATTTATAATTATTCTTTTTAATACAATTTTCAATTTTTTTATAACTAATAATTTTGCTTTTATTAATAAAAATTCCAATTGTTTTTTTTTAAATTTTTGTAAAAAAAATATTTGATAATATTGTTAAATATAATATTTCTAACAGTACTATTTAGGTAACAAGTTGATATTAATTTAATACTTGGTTTGGAACTCTAATTATATATAATTACTTTTAAATAGAAAATTTTAAATAAATTGTTTGTTTTTTTTAAAGATTTGCTAATATTTTTTTTGTTGTTTTAATTTTAATATTATATTGAAAAAATATCATTTCTAATATTTAAAATTAGATTATTTATTTTTTTTTAAATAAAAATAATATATATACAATCGAAATCATATGTCATTGCTCAACTCCTTAAAAATTCAAATTTAATCCAATTGTTTTAAAAATATTAGAACAAATAGTTTAATACAATTCCAGATCCTCTAATTTTTTGAAGGTTTTTGTAATTGCCAAAACAAAATTTAGATAAGAGTCAAATTTTTGAGATTTTTTTTTAATAGATTTTTTTAACTTGAAAATTATTAAAAAATAATTCATATATTAATAATTTACTTAACCAAAAATTCTTAAAAAATCATATGTTAAAATTTGGGTCTTTATATATTATTGACAAAAAATTTGACATATTTTAATAAGACAGTTGTTAAAAAATTAATTTTCAAATTTTAAATTTGCCAATGACTTTTCAAATACAGTTTTTATCAATTTTATTATATAATAAAATTGATAAAAATTATATCTCTTATTATTAAAAAGTTTTTATAAAGGTTTTTTACAATTTAAATTGTTTAATCTAAGTATGTTTTGAATTATATTTCTATTAAATAATAAATAATTAATTAATTATGTCTCTTTTGAAGAAACATAATTAATTTGTAAAATTTTATATACTAAATAATTTAAGAATCTATTCTTAGCTATATAAGCCAAAGATATAAAGTAATAAGGAGTTTGAATAAAATTTAGTTAATATATTATTACCTACTTTCAAATTAGAAATTAAGATTAAATAGTTTAAAACTAGTGATAGGATTTCTACATTCTTAAATTTCTATTAGTTTATAGACCCATCCTTAAGATATAAGTTAATATATTCTATTAACAAAATAGGCTACAATTAGTTTATATTTTTTAAATTAATGTTGAATGATTAAATTATTATTGATAAAATAATTATGATTTTTAGTTGAAAGAATTTTGTTAGATAATTTAAGTAAATATTCAAAATCAATCTAATTATTTTATCCATTTGCAAATAAAATTATAATAAATCAAACCGAAAAATTTAGAAAAAGTAAAAATAAAAAGAAAAAAAAAGAAATAGAAGAGGAATATAACAAATAATTTGATTAAATCTTATATATTTATATATTTTAAAATGTATTTAATCATTTCCAATACTCTTATTCCATAAATTTACCAAGAATTCATAATATATTATATAAGAAAAATTCATGACTGCTTTTATTGTAGCTCAAGATGACAGTAATATATAAATTATACTTGAATTCTAAAAAAACATAAATGCATTTGTGTTTATCGATTATTTTTTCTATTCAAGTTTTAAATTTATTTTTGATTTTGAATGCCAGTAGTTATTTTACTTTACAAGTGAGTCACGGCCTTTAGAGCCGTAATTAAAAATCGCGAACTCTATTTCTTAAATAATTACAAACATAACCGTTTTGCTTCTTTTTTTTACACGATCGCATGAATCATGCGATCACACGATGTGGGTTAAATGTTCGGGTATCGTTAAAATGTTTTTTTGAAGAATCAATCTCATTTTTTGCACCCGATCTGAAAATCCAAATAAGTTATTGTTTCCATGTATGATCCCTTCGTCAATGTTAAAGTTATTGGAATATGGGCATAATTGCCAGTTCTCTAAAACAAATTTCCATATTATTTCATACAACAGGTATCCTACGTCCTTTGAGTGAACGTATGGTAGCAAGCGTCCAATGTAATCTAATGGTTGTGGAACGTAATGTGCCTTCAAACAAATAGAACAACAATTTTAACAGGTGACACCAATGTAGATCGATATTGCCCAACCAAATAATTACCTTTCGCATCGCTTCGACTAAACGCATCACCGCATCAAGCTCGACAGAATATTTTTTCGAATTTTGTTCGCGCATCCTATACCAAAAAGAAATATTTGTGGCAAGAAGGGAGCGAGCCAATATATCATGAAGGTCTCCAAATATTCTATAGTCTAGAGATAAGGGAAGAATTATTTTACATTCAGTTGAGATCGAGACAAAGGCACGACATACCATTTGCTAGAAAATCCAAAAGTAGCCAAAGTTCCGGGTAATCATTGAATCTTGATTGCAGAAAACGATCCCTATTCGAAAGCAGATGTTAGCAAGCTGACCCTCGATTGACCGTTGGTACACAAAGGGATACACTTACCTGCTGTACGAAATCGATTTTGGCACTATTATGTGCTCTGTCACCGATGTAGGGGGTTCTAGTGTGGTTAATTTTTGTATAAGGAGTCGCGCAAGCATATCGGTTTTTTTCGAATCATATGATAGTAAGTCTGGTGTTTAAGTTAAGAAATGTAAGAACATAAGTTTCTGCATGCATATAATACCGAAATGATGAACCCTTGTATTAGCTACCTTTGTTCATACAAAGTATCCTAAAAAGTCGACCGTTGGACCATGCATTATAAATCGAACGAGAATCTAATTCTGAATTGCTGCTAACATCGGTTTAATTTGGAGGTCGAAGTTAGATGTTGAATTTAAAAGAAAACTATAAAACAAAATAAAATCTTCTTACCCGGAATCTGAATTCCTAAGGTAAATCAGAAATTTTTTTTTCCGTAGAGCTGAGCTAACAATTCGTCCCCCAAGATTTTTTGCTTCCTTTTGATTAAAGTTAATGGAATGCCACGTTGATGAGTACGACTTGTCATTTCTACTAATCGCATTATACTTAAACTTTTGCATTTGACGTTTGGACATTAATTCTAGGTTCGTTGAGACCTTTTCTGATGATCTCAGAGCGAAAGGCCAATTTCGAACCTTTTCAGCATTAAACATTAATTTTCGTAACATTAAATTAGGTAAATATGGAAAGGTTTCCGGATATTTTGAAAACGTAAAAACTAAAGATGTTCAGGTATGTTGAGTTTCCAATCATTAATATTCTTTGGCATGAAGAAAAGTGAGAACAGAAATAAACAGTTACCAAGATTTTCCATGATGGATAGTGCTATGTTCCACTCAAAGTCCTCGTTGCTTGTACTCGACAACTGTGATTTTCTCGTCATCATAGCAAACCATATGTCCACCAACGAATCACAGCACTCCAAGATATTACGTATTGAATTATTTGTTAACGCACAGGAAGAAGAGATCAGTAATAATAATAGCAGCCATCTGGAGTTTGATAACTCAGTTTGATCATCGTTTGAATTTATGATGTGATAAAAAGTGCGTAGGAGACTATGATATGAATTTCCTATTGCATTTAATATACATTTGCTCATGCTTTTATGTGTTAAAAATGAGCCATTAATCAAATCCCACAATGTGATATTTGAGACATCCGATTCGGTTACAACAAAATAAACCAGAGTCCTATAAATGTTCGTATATTGGGGGTAGTAAATCGAAGATGACGCATGTACACCCTCTTCGTGCACCAATACCATTCCTATGAGGCTTTCAATAGAAAGCCTGAAAATATTATATTAGTTTTATACGCGAATAAATACCCTCTAGACGTAAAGCGACCAAATATTTCACCTGAACACATCTTTCCAATATAATTCAAATGTAGCAACCAACTCGTGTACGTAAATCATTCTCTCTGCTATGATCTGATCGTCTGGCGGCATTACCTGAAAGAGCGTCAGCAACAATTCTTGAATCAATTTTTTAGCAACACTTTTAGATGTTAATCCGATGCATTTAAGTATTGTCAGCCAGAACGCTTCACTCTTTGATCCCAGTCGACTATACAGCATCGATAGCGTTTGTTTAAGATTATAGTCCGAATTTCGTGTGATATAAATTACTCCTAGTTGTAAATGTAAAATTTGATAGTTTCTCAAATTTGTTGACTGTCCAATGTCTTGATCCAAAAAATTTCTTACTATCACTTCCTTCAAGTGCGATTGCGACACGTCATTTGAGTTCGTATTCACGATGCACTCGTCGAGCTGTTTGATGATAAAAAAAATAATATTTTGTTTTAATAATTTCTATCACAGAATTAAATAAAATTCCAGAACCTACCGCGACTGCCATCTGCTGGATCAAAGTCGCACATTCTGTGCGTACAACTTCACCTAAATAGGTAACTGTGATTGAATCAACGCCCTTTCCGTTTATTACATATTCCTCGTTTGTCAGACCATCCAACATGATACATATAGGAAATACATGGGGAATAACGCTATCTGTATTGGCAAACAGCCAAGTCTGTAACCAGCCGAGAAACGATTCACAGATCGACGTTACGGTGCTACGGAAGATGGATATCAAAAATTAACCAATTGTTGATGATAACACATAATTTGTGTTCGTTAGGATCATACCCAGACGGAGATATGCACAAGGAAAACCTTGTGACATACTCGAAATAACATAACATTTGAATGTTTGGAACCGTGAGACGATTCCAAATCAATTCTTCCTGACCTGAATGTTATAGTTCAATATAAAATCAAATACGTATGTATGGTCATAAGATCATGTGATATAATCAACATGCGTCTGGATGTACTTACCGTCGACTATTTCCGGATGCAGGACAATCATATTAATCAAATGCGAGATGATAAGCCTTTCGCCTAATAAAGAGTATGAGATTAATAATCGCATTCGAATCACGTGACCATGTTCATCCAATAATATCAAGAATTTTTCAACCAAGATGTTCGGGTATGATATCATAAACTCTTTGTGTGTAGTTATACGCAATGTTTAGGTAAGCGTCCAATAGACCAATCATGCATTGCTGATATGCTACAAGATCGATATCTATAAGGAAGTCGAAAATCGTAAAAGGAACGCTAGTCGAAAAAAGGTAGGATATGTGTAAATCATGTTGATCGGGTATTAAAACAAACAATAAAAAGGCCGATACACACTTTGATTCGCTTAACTTCCAAATGGTAAATTCCATGAATAGCTGACACCTAAAGTTGGTCGAGCCGTTATAATCCAGAGTCCAGTAAAGTAGCCATAAAGAATTGGTCTTTGCAAGGCTCTAAGTAATAGACGCAAATTGCACATTCACATTAGCGAAAGAAAAAGCAAAAATGTGATTAAAAAAGCTCTTACATCGAATAAATCCCGGCAACGGGTTCTGTTAATTCTCGAAGTTTTTGTGTGGGAACTGAGGAATATCATGAAAATTTTTTGTTAACGTAACAAATAACAAAAAAACCGTTTGCAAATATTTAATACAACACTAATGGGAATATATTTACTATGTAAAAAAAGTTTTAAAAGTTTATTCGAAAAATATATGCTCACCCATTGGTCAGATTTTCTGCGAATGACAAATAGTCAAATAGAATGTCCGCAAGTAGTTTTAACAACGGTGATTCCTTGTAACGTATGCTAAGTGTTTTCAGGAGTTCGTTTGGATGTAAATCAACTGGAAACCGTGGTTGGTCTGTTTTATGAAAAGTTTTGCGTCAATATGAAAAGATGTGCATTATATAAGTAACACCACGTGATCTCATTCCTCAATGAATGATCGCTGATACGGTCTGAATTCGTTAATGCCTTATAGGTTTCGGTCTAACTCGGGTCGGAATAATTTAACGATTCACGAAAATTCATGAAACCGACACGCATTAAATAGTAGTTTTTCAGGTGAAGCGCAAAAGAAAAATGTAGATTACATGGTAGTGAAAGATTACGATGTGAAAACTATTATAATTACCTGTTTGGAGCTGAACAATATAACTTTCCATCGCACTCAATAACCACTGAAATGAATGTAAATAAATGATAAACAAGTGTGGATTATTGCATCGTCCAAACTTGAGTGCATACCCGAAGATCTTACATTAAAGACATCGTCTTGTTCACGTGAAGTGTGGCGCAGCCGTTCCAGCTCCCGTAAGCAGCCATCATATTTTTTCCGATCTTGAATCATATCTTCACCATATCCGTTCAGAAAAGAACGCAAAGTGACCGGATCCCCGGCATAACAGGAAGATATCGTTTTGCCCAGCACTTCAAAATCTTGTGCCAGATTTTGAGTATATACCCCATTCAATTGAACATACGTCGTCGTGTCCATGACGAATGTGTTCAGGAGAAAGTTGAAAAAAAAAGTGCACCACCGTAAATCTGCACTATTTATAATGTTTTGAAACCGTGGGCATCACGTGTAACAGTAACACAGGATCTCATTTGTTTTAACCTTCTCACGTGAACTCTTAGTGCAAAAATACAAATTTGGGTTCTTTACAATAGAACGCTTTCGTGTAACCCCGTATTTGACTGTATATTTCGATGTATTCAGAATAAGTATAGTCTCATTTGAATAATTTAAACATTAAAAACATGACATAATATTTCTTAATATCAATCGTAAATCGTTATTAATTTGTTGTACATCATTTAAATCCAAAATGTATTTTTTTGATAAAAAAATCAACAACAATAATAATTGTTAAAACAATTAATAAAAATATTCAAATGATAATATTTTGATTTTAACAATGTATTTTGTTATTACTTTAATTTATAATATTTAACAAATTTTTAGTTTATAACAAGTTTACAATATATAAAAACATAAATTTAAATTAATAAAATACAATTTTTAATTTATCTAATAATTATTATTTCAAGCATTTTTAATAATAATGAAAATATCAAAAAGTGTTTTGATCTTGTAATTATTTTTTTTTAATTAAGACATTATTTTTATTTTAATATTTCTAATATTGTTAATTTAATATTTGTTTATTTATAAAAAAAAATAAATTATTTTTTGTTAATTATTTTATTACTTATTTATATATTCACAATAATATTAATAAAAACCTTAATTAAATTTACAAAATATTAATAAAGTTAATCTTTGATTCTTATTGATATAATTAAAAAAGAATAGGAATTTTTTTTTCTTATTTTTTAAAATTTTATATAAACAAGAGTTATTAGAATAAAAAATATTTTACTAAAATAAAAATATAATATCTATAATATAAAATAAGATTTTTGAATTACATATATTTTATTTATGTTGGATAAAAAAATCTTATTTTATATTAATTATATTTAGCAAGTTGTCATTACTAGCAAATTATTAATTATATTTCAAAAATTTTCAACACTGCAATTATGATATAAATTGATTATTGACATTACGCGAGTCACATGTCTATTCTTTTACATTATATAGAAATATACTGTATAAAAATAAAACTTAAAAAATTAATAAAATTAAATAAGTTATCTAATTTAATTAGTATTGTTATCAAAAAGTACTATTTATTAAGTTTTAAATCTTTATAATTTTCAAATTTCTTTTATATAGAAAATTTTTTTCCTTATATTATCTAGCTTTATGAATATATTGCATAACTTAAAAAATTTTTATATTATATTTTAATATAGGCGATATTATATATATATATATTACTTTTTTTTATCTATATTTAATCATCTGGAACATTTTTACTCGTGCGTTTCCATTTCTTTGGATATCATCGATAACCAAGATGATGCTCGGGAAAAGGTAATCTCGCTCGATCCAGGTGTTCGCACGTTTATGACCCTGATGGTCAATTAATCGAGTGGGGTAACGTTGATCTTAATAAAATATTTAAATTATCTAAGAAATATGACAAATTACAGAGTGACAAAGATCTTGCTTTGGGAAGAACAAACAAGAGAAAAAGATTTTCTAATTTAATCGAAGAGTGACATCATCGGCTGGTCATTGATTATGTCAGAATCACGAGATCATTCTACCCAAGTTCAAGTCTTCGAGAATGGTTTTGAAAAACAAACGAAAGATTCGGTCAAAGACTGCTTGTGCGATGCTAACTTGGTCGCATTTCAGGTTTCGGATGTTCTTACATCATAAGTCGAGTGAGTTCAGAGGTTGCAAGGTCATTGAATGCACATAAAAGACGTGTGGGAATTGTGGATTCATAAACAAGATCTCGGTGGATCTAAAACGGTTAATTGCGATCCGTGCGAGGTGGAGATGGATCGGGACGCGAATGGTACCAGAAATATCTTGCTCAAATATTTAATGGGGGTCAGGTTTTGACCTGGCTTTGAGACTTGAACCTATATGGGATATGATATGCATAATAAAGACTAACTTTATTTATTCATATTGGATTCAAATTCAAGGGTACATCAACAAACGTACGTTCTATGGATATATTATAAATTCCTCGAGCATATTAAAGATCTGAAGGACAACCTTCGATTGCACAACAAGAAATCAATATATACAAGTAATAATAGATATTATTATATACATAATACCAAAGCTTGAGAAAAGCGGATTTATAAGAAGCTGCCAAGTACAAAGATCACGTTGACCGTCACATTCATTAATCATAGAATTTTTATATTTGGTATCAACTGAACCGTGTACACCGCCAATATTGGTACAACCTTCATGAAGGTTTGAGGAAACTTTTAAAATTAGGCTTATCTTCAAATGAGACCTTAATGAAATATTAAATTAAGAATAATGAGACCATTCGTCATATCAACCTTCTTCTTAGTCTTGTTTACTTTGTTAGTAAATGCAGCATATTATTCTCCACAAGGACGGGGTGATATACTCGCTGCGTTTGTATCTGACAGAATCTATTATTATTGTGGATACGCTGGTCGCGCACTTGACAATTTTTTTTATATTGGCTTGACAGAACCATTTTGATGTTTCGAGCTTGCCATATCAATTTCGGGGTCTAACGGGGAGGGGCCAGTGCTGTCGTCCATGAAAATACAATTCATGTTTTTAGTGGTTATGACCCGTAAGAATTTATTCATAAAAAATAATTGATATTTGACTGTATGGAATTCTTTAATTCTGAGATTTAAAATAAAATAAGAATGGTAATACGAACGAACTGCTCGCAATCGAAAAACCTTCAACGAATCCTTCCGTTCAGACGGTTCAAAACACAAATTCTAGTATGTGTTCATTCGCAAGAAAATGGTAATTAGTTCTACGAATACGGATATGTACTGTATATTTGGAGAGGGACCGCGTCCATAAAGTACGCTTAATCTTACTCGTAAAACAATTATTGCTATGCTTGCAAATAATAACTTATGATATTCGATCTTGATCAAAGTTCGGATAACACTCAAAGCAATGTACGTGTATAATATTGTAAATAATATCTGGACATCCTATACAGTGTCAAATCAACCAACTGGTCGTCAGCTTCATACGTCAACTCTGTTTCCCGATGGGTGGATTGGTAGTTATTACATTTCAGATATACTGTAGCAAATTTATACATGTTAAACTTATTACTTTTTACGTATAATAATTAAATAATAGCTTTATTAGACAGTCACAAAGATTGGAACAATTTCTGCTCGATCCAAAACATAGTCATATTTGAAGGATCTTCTCAATACGAAAGTTTTACTTACTACTACCTAGCACCTCGAGCTATACATGGAGAACTGTTTCTTCGGCTGAAAATCGGCCAGCCAATTCGCCAGATTCGCATACAGCTATACTATATAATAATTACCTTTTTCAAGGACCACAGATTTATTACGTTGTGTTCACGTTCACTTAAGCGAACTTAGATATCTCATCGACCAACTGACGAGCAGAATAAGCATTCTTGACATCTCAAATGATCAATGCAGATGGATTGAATCATGCAGCCCGTCTACTGTACCTCCACGAAAAAAATAGCAACTCCAACAAACCGACCAAAAACAAAATCTCGTAAGAGACTGTTTTCGGAAGAATTGCGGCATTGCTAGTTGTGGTAACCGGCGTACTTGGGTATCTTTTTATAAACGATGAAAAGAAAGGGCCGTGAGTGGAGGTCTACATGATGAGAGGGAGAGGCACATGAGCGAAGTACGCTAGCTGAATAATATACTGTAATACATTTTATAGAAACCACATTTATGCCTTCTTTGCCTACTGATTCTCGGTAAACATTTAAGTCTAAAATCTCATGAAGTGTAAAGGTATTAAATATTCTATTAAAGCAGTTCTTAATATAACTTATTATTAAAACCTTTATAAACATCGGATTTATTTTATTTTTTAAGATTTTAGGTCGATTGTTTTTCTTTTTTCGTGATTAAGTATAAATAATAAAGATGATTTTTTAACATTATGGCAATTAATAATTAATAATTAATATTAATATTATTGTTATTGTTATTTGATTTTTTAACTTCAATTTAACTATTTATAAATAATTTTACATATGCACTAAATATACTATATAATATTTAGTTCAAATTTGACAACGCGCCGAATAATGTGAATAATCCAAATATGGATATTACGTGTTAACGTCGCATCTAATAGGATCGACAGACTTATAATTGTAAAAATCTGATTTAAGAAGTGGAAAACTTTTAACGCTAGTGTTATGGTAATAACATCCGTAGGGCTTCATTAATTAATCGTTTATGGATTTACTAAATTTTTTTTAATTGGAATTAGTCGAATAAGGATGAACTCGCGAAATATTTTCCTACATCATTTGGAAAAAAATTCAAACCTCCTACAGTGGTAGAAGATTCTGTCGAGGATGAGGATGAAGAACTAGATCCTTTACGATCCATGCTACCCACCTCATTTGGTTCGCAAAAAAAGAAGAACGTCTTTACAGATGCATTTTCCAAAACAAAAAGAAAAGACGATGAGGTTCATGCTTACTTTTATTATTATCTCAACATAAGTCTAGAAAAAAAAAAAAAATCCGTCTGCTCGAAGTTGTCATTGATTCCCCACGCATCTTACCTAACTGTTCAGCTCTTATTATGTTGTATCTAGAAAGGGACAATAAGTTCGATTACACCTGAACAACAAAAGTCAAAGGCCAAGCGTGTAAAAAGCGAAAGGGAGGAACATTCGCGGTCTGTACAGGATGATGATGATGACGATGAGGATGACGATGACGACGATGACGATAATGATGATGATGATGATAATAGTAATGAGGAAGGGACCAAATTCGATACTTTACCAATATCTCACGAAATAAAATTAAACGATCATTACAGGGTATTGATTTTGCCGCTTAAAGTAGCTTGCATTTATTAATGGTGACCGATTTAATAATCTCGCACTTTTTATAATCTGTTTTCAAGAGTATAACTGCACTGGCCCTTGATCCAGCTGGTGCACGTCTTATTACTGGAGGTTCCGATTATGATGTAAAATTTTGGGATTTTGCGGGGATGGATTCTTCTTTACGCCCATTTCGAACTATAAAACCATGTGGAGACCACCAGGTGAGTTGCCACAGGATAAAATACTTAGTTCTGTTAGGAATTGAAATTGAAATAAAATATAACTTCTGTTTAAAATAGATCCATCACCTTGAGTATAGTATAAGCGGGGATCAATTTTTAATTATTTCTGGTTCCGCACAGGCAAAAATTTATGATCGTGATGGATTCGAGATGTAAGAACCTTATTTTATGTTAATTATTGAAGGACCTGAAGCGTTTAGTTAATTGTATTTTATGTGTCTCAGCGAGGAATACATCAAGGGTGATCCGTATATAAGAGACATGAGGAACACAAGGTAATGAATGCTTACATCATATGCTATAAACGTTGTTTTACTGTAAACTTCCATTAATTCCTTTCCTTTCCTTTCCTTTCACAGCGGTCACGTAGCATCATTAAAATGTGGAGGTTGGCACTCTAATGATAAGCGGACATTTATCACAGGTTCCGCGGACAGTACCATAAGGTTTGTCTTAATGTAAAGCGAAAAGTTTCCGTAAATTTTCCTTGTTTATTAAAATTTTTTCAGAATATGGGATGTGGAAAATAAACGCAAGCAAAAATATGTTCTTGTGCATAAATCTAAAGAACGTGGCGGACGAAGTGCTGTAACTGCAGCATGCTACAGTCCAGATTCCAAATTCATTGCTGGTGGTTAGTACTAAATTTGTACCATATCTTTTTTATTACTTTTTGTTAATAACCTATTATCGTTAATTGAACATTAGCGGCACAAGATGGAAATTTATTTTTATGGGGATCAAATGGCCCTTACGTCCGTCCTTCGCATGTGAGTTTATTGTTTTTTAACAATAGAAAATATATATTGTAAATATAACATCCTTTATTACAGGTAGTAGAAAAAGCTCATCAACCATATAGTGAAACTTCATCCATAGTTTTTTCTAAGAATAATTGGACAATGGTCACAAGAGGTGGTGACGATTCTGTTAAAGGTTGGTCCGTGTTAATGTTAAAAGAATCATAAATATTAGGATATTAAAATCGAATCTTTTTATTTGTAGTTTGGGATATACGGAATTTTAAATCTCCAGTAGCCCAGGCTAAAGATTTGATAACCTTTAACCCCGAGACCAATGTAATATTTAGTCCCGATGAGAAAATGATTATTACAGGTATTATGGAATATTCGGAATGGTTAGAGTTTCATATTATTCTTATAATTTACATATTTTTTTTATAGGAACGGCCGTTAAAAAAGGCGAGGGTTATGGAAAATTAGTGATGATGGATCGTGAATCGTTGGAGATTGTTCGAACAATGAGTAAGTTAGTAAGTTCTAGTTTATTGCTTTTTAATTGAATGTTTTAATTTATATTTTTTTAAACGATTACAGGCATCACACAATCAAGTGTTATTCGTGTGCTATGGCATTCCCGTATAAATCAGGTATGTCTTATTGCCGGTGAAGTGTTGTCTTACGAAATGTATCCTTTATTTAATTTCTTCCTTATTTAACGAAGGTTATAACCGGAAGCGCAGATGGATCCGTCCATGTATTCTATGATCCAAATGTTAGTGTACGAGGTGCCAAACTTTGTGTCATAAGAGAACCTAAGAAACGTGCTATCGATGATTATGAAATAGATCGTCCGATTATTGCTCCACATTCACTATCATTATTCAGAGATGATAGGCCGAAGTCAACAAAGAGGAAGAGAGAAAAATTACGTAAAGACCCTGTTGCCTCACGCCGTCCTGATTTACCTGTTAGTGGACCTGGAAAGGGAGGTAAAATTGGTAGTAGCTTGACGCAACATATTATGAAAGAGTTAATTAAAGATACTACCAGAGGTATGTTTTTTAAAGAAGATTATCGTTGGAGATTATATGAAAATATTATTGTGTTTGTTTATTAATCACATATTCTGTAGATGAGGACCCGAGAATGGCTCTATTGAAGTTTGCGAAGGTTTCTGAGGGTAAGTGTGCGCTTGTGGTTATTTTAATTATTAACATTGGATTAAAATATTCATTGATTTTCTATTTTAGACGATCCACAATGGATCGGATCTGGTAAGAAAAACAGACGTTTTTATCTACCCAAATGCAAATACTTGAGTTTATTTCTCATGCAAATATTATTTAATGTTGTAGCATATAAGAATACGCAACCAAAACCAATATTGGCTGATACCACGGGTGAAGAGGAAGAGGAACAAGCCCAGTGATGTCTCTAGTTTTATCTGTTTGTCGACATTTAATAATTTTCTGTTTGAAATAAAGTGTTAATGTTTATTTAATGCCTTCATCGACAAGATGTTTAAGAATTATATAAACTTAAATATTAAAGAAATTTGTATTTAAAATTAAAAGTTAAATCATTGCAGTTATTTAAAAACTTTTTCAAAAATATGTATAATTAAATATTGAGTATATTTGATTTCAAAATAATATTAATGTAAAAATTTTATTTTTATATTTATATATGCTTATTTATTTATTATAAATCATATAAAGTATTAATATATAATTAATGATTTTTTGGAAGAGGTGAAAGGTACATATGCACTTGGTTTTTATTATGTAATTTATATTCAATACAATTATATATTTTAATCTATTTAAATTAATTACTTCAATAACTTATAAACATTACTAATATATTAAATTATATTTAAGAGTAAGTTTTATATATAATAAAAATTTATAGATCCTTGACACAATTGATATAATTATTTAATACAATTAATTGAATTATTATCAAAACATATAAATTATAAAGTTATAATATAATTGTTTTTAAAAATTTTGAAAATTGAGTTAACAGCAAAATAATTTATACTTCATATATATATATTATTTGGATTTTTAAGAAATAAAAATTATATCATTAGTTTTAAATTATTTATCTTAATCTAGATTTTGGTTTGACTATACTATTATAAAAAAATCTAATATATAATATTTTTTAAATATTATAATAGAGTTACTAAATAATATATGTAAATAATAAGTAATTATATTTAATTCTGAATTATATTATTAATTAAAATTTTTTCACAGTAATATAAATATATATATAATTAAAATATTTTGATATTTTAAATATCTTTTAATTGAAATATAACAAATTTTTTACTTTTACTGTATTATATACTATTTATAAAATTTTATAAAATTTTATTAACTTTAGATATATTTTATCATACTTTATTATAATTTATCATAATTTATTATTTTTACTTATATTTTTTATATAATATAATATTTTATTTTCAAGAATTTTCAATCTATTTATATAGTTTTTAATAACATGGCAAATTTAAAATATTATAGCTTGAAAATTAAATTAATAAACTTTTTTTATAATTCTAAGTAACTATTTTTAGAATTAGAGAAATTAATTACAGTCAAACCTCTTTATAACGATATTTTTTATAATAATTTCTGATTATAACAATATAATTTTGTTTACCTGTTTATTATAATATATAGTAAAAGTCAATTTTTATACTGATAAACTGGTTATAATGATACAAATGATCTGATCCAGGCATATCGATATAAAAAGATTTGACTGTATTTATATAATAATTATATTAAAAATAATTTATAATTAATCAAAATATTATAAAAAGATTATATATTTTTTTAATTATAAAAAAAAAACAACTAAAATCATAACAATAAAATATATTTTCTTATAATATTTTTATAATTTTTTTTAATAAAATTATTATTATTTTATATTATTCTTTTATATTTTTTTGCTTTTTTTTGAAATTCAATTTGGTATATTGTTATCTTTTGATTTCAATATTAAAATAAAGTTATAAATTTTAATTGAAACAATAATATTTTTAATTGTTTATATTAATTTATTTAATATTGTTTGAAACAAAACACATTAAATAAATAAATTATTAAGGATTAAAACTATTTTTTATTAATAATTTTCAAGCTATCAGATAAAAAACTAAAAGTTTTAACATCAGAAAATTTTTTGAGTGAAGATTTTCAAAGATTTTTAAACATAGATCTCTAGAGAATCTTCATCATTATTAAAAGACTTCAAAGCAAAAATTTATATATTAATTTCTGAAGATTTTCAATATATTTTAATAATAATAAATTATATTTATATTTATATATTATAATTAAATAATATTCAATTTAAAATATTTAATTAACTTATGACCTACCCAGTCATAGTCCAGTGGGCTAAGGCAGGGTAGGGCTAACCTATGAACTACTGTTCAACCCCAGCTAGGGGCAATTCACATATCCTAAATAGAACTTTGTGTCACTGCTCCTGTAACTCGTGATAGAGAGCAATTTGGGTTGTTCTGGTAATCAAGGAGCCTTATGGGTAGACTACACCCCATAGGTCAAAAGATAGATGATCTAATTGATAAAACTTTCTGATTAAGTATTGCCTGGGAAATATCTCCAAAAGAGGAAAGAAGTTTCATGGGATCTTTTCAGTAATGGAAGGAAAGGTACAGATGGCTAAAACCATTAGTCGCACAACTATCAGTAAGAGTTTCACATGTCCGTTGGTAGCCAGGATCTGGTCAGGATTGTAGGAGGTCGCTTGTATCACGGGATGTTCTATCCTAAAAGATACACTTGCGATAGTTGACTGCATGCCCCCATAAATTGTAATCCCTCGCATATGTTGCTAGGTCAGATTAGGAAGGGTGAGGCTGGATCTGATTCCCAGGCAAATTTGGTGTACTGGTGTATCCTTATCCCGCCAATGATATCTCACTGACTAAACTCTAGTAAGTCTTGGCTAAACTGAATGGTTGAAATACTGTAGTGGTGGTTGCAGGCAATGATTATCCTGGCATGATAGCAAAGGTCTGCTTGCCTTGAAATAGCAACTTTCTATCCCCACCATCTATACTTAGAGGCTTAGGCCTAAGATGAGTAATTAGGACTGATGTCATCACCTCTGTACCCTGGAGAAATACCGGAAGACTAGTAGGTAATGAAAACAGGTACCTGAATTGACGGCAAGGGTTAAAAATATATACAGTATATATATATATATATATTTGTTATTTTAAATTTAAAAAAAATTATTATAAAAAAAAACTCTTTCTGCTGATCCTTTTGCCAACCCAAAAAACAGACGTTCTCAAAAAACTTTTTGTTTTTATGATAATAAAGTCTATACACT